CGCTTGGTGGGTGCTCCACTGATGTTTTTTTCTTAAGGTTGCATTTACTTTTAGATGTTGATACGGTGCGCGTTTTGGGACGTGATGTCCAAAGAAAACCTTACTCGAGAGGCAAAATCTAACGTTGGCAGGGCCATTGGCATGCTCGCAGTTGTCTACGATTTCTCTTTGGCTGTACTCAAGGTGGGTCTTGGTTTTGTTTTCCACTAAGGCAGTCATTTCAATTCTTCATTTTTGTCCGTTTATTTTACGTAAGGGACCAGTACTCTTTAGTTGTGGTCTGTTGGTATGCTCCTGTCTGATCAGCCCGTGAGAAGGCCTCTTGCACAGCCGGCGTCCGACTGCCAAATTATACAGTGCAGTCGGACTAGGCTCCCTGAACTTTCGAATCACAAGTATTATATAGCGATATGGCTTTGCCTCCCGAGAAAACTTGCAGGTGATCCTTTAAACGCTGCGTACGCTATACTCTGCACTGGATCAACAAACACCGTTAAGGTAGGAGAGCTAAGGTCTGTTCGTTTTTGGATACAATTATGCGTTAAGCAAGTGGCTGTATTCCTTATGGCGATAGCAGATTTGAAGGAAAACCTTCATTGTTCCTAACTCACTGTACACACTCCTGTGTAGTTAAGACGTTGTATCGCAGTGGGTTAGGCAAGTTCAATCCTAGCAACTGCGATCTTTAGGCCCGACTCCTTAGGAGAAGAGAAGTCAGGCGAAGGCCAGAGTGGTAGGAACAATTTATTCTGCACAGAAGAAATGAAGAATAGGTAGCAGGATTTGACTGTCAGACGACCGCACAAACACGAGCCAGCGGACGGCATCTTAAGTGACCAGCGCGTAGGGGATTGCCAGAAACCCAGCCCTGGCTTTGTTTGTGCAGCCAATCAGGAAATGGTACACTCCGGTCGGTTCGAGTTCCCAAGGGGCTAATGTCTTGTCTCGCGGTGGAGGTTCAACCTTGAGACTGACGTAGGCGACCGGTACATATGCGCTCGCGCGATGATCGTCTGCTCGGAGTGAGTCACCACAATTAATCGCTCAGGCCACTGGTTGTGCAATGTTGGGCAGCTAACGAATGTCGCTAAGGCTCTTTTCTCAGGTTGTCGGTATTTTTGGAGGCTTGGGTGTCGTCTCTAGTACGTTTTAGCGTGGACCTGGAATTCGATGGAAGCCGAGGCTTTGCACGTCTTCACATGATCAACTGTCTGCGGCAATTCCGCTTTTGCTCCTATTAATTTCGTCAACGCGATTTGTTCCCTTCTACCACTCTCCACCAAGATCCACGTGGTGGTCCGTCTCGCAACTAGACAGAGAACGTTTGTTCGTGCAGTCTCAGTTAATATCAATAAAGACGCGTACCGTTAGGGCCCACGAG